TAGAGATCGGCCGGGCCGTTTTCTTGTAATAAAGTTTTTAAAAAAAAAAATTCGACGATTTTTATGATTATTTTTTTGACGATAGATACCATAGTCTTCTAGATCATACTAAAATATTACGGCCCTACAACTGGTTCAGCTTTAAAAATTCGTCAAAGTTTGCAAAAATCAGTATGGTCTTTTTGGCATTTGTCAAAATTAAACTTTTGATCGACGTTTTCTCAAAAACGCCTGAACCGATTTTAGAAATTTAAAAGCGATTTGATGTATTTCGATGAGGACCACCGTTTGTCAGTTTTGTGCAACGATCTACCAAGCCGTTTCTTTGTAATTTGAAAAACAAGTGTTAAACTTTTCGTCCACATTTAAGCTCATCCTACCGAACCGATTTTAAAAAATCAAAAACTGTTCGAAAGATATTAGTTGGGAATGGTACTGATTAATTTTAGGTGAAAATCTACCGAGCCGTTTTCTTGTAATTAACTGTTGAAAAAAAGTGTTAAATTTTCGTCGACATTTAAGCTCATCCTACCAAACCGATTTCAAAAAATCAAAAACTGTTCGAATGATATTAGTTGGGAATGGTACTGATTAATTTTAGGTGAAAATCTACCGAGCCGTTTTCTTGTAATTAACTGTTGAAAAAAAGTGTTAAATTTTCGTCGACATTTAAACTCATCCTACCAAACCGATTTTAAAAAATCAAAAACTGTTCGAAAGATATTAGTTGGGAATGATACTGATTAATTTTAGGTGAAAATCTACCGGGCCGTTTTCTTGTAATTAACTGTTGAAAAAAAGTGTTAAATTTTCGTCGACATTTAAGCTCATCCTACCGAACCGATTTTAAAATATCAAAAACTGTTCGAAAGATATTAGTTGGGAATGGTACTGATTAATTTTAGGTGAAAATCTACCGAGCCGTTTTCTTGTAATTAACTGTTGAAAAAAAAATTTAAGCCGATTTTCATGGAACTTTTTTTGTCGATATACATCACGGTCTTATAGAACTTACTGTAATATTACGGTCTTACGACAAGTAGTTTAATTTTAAAAATTCGTCAAAGTTTGCTAAAATTATTATCGTTTTTTTTAAAGTAGGATTGATGAAGTATATTATTTACACATTTTTTTGATTAAGTCGATTATTTACACATATCGGGAAGTTCATGTAACTTGCCTCAAGGCTAAATACCAAACCAACTAGTTAAGTTATATTTTGTCTGCAGACTAAATATGGCTCTATAAGCTTAATTACTGAAATGTTGCCCAAAGAAGTGTTTGGTACTCGTATTTCAAGTACGGAATACCGTTTACAAAATATTTGCGAGAAATTGGAGTAAATGTTTACATATATTTTATTACTTAACTAAAACCAATGTTTGTTCCTAAAAAGTAATTTTACAGTTTTATGTGTAAAGTGATCAATTTTTTATCGATCTGTAAATTTTTATATATGCGTATGCAACATATATAACCTATATATTAACATATTTATGTATCATTTTGTCTTATATTTTTAGTCATGTTAATTTTGTGAATTTCAATATATTGTCATTGATGCCAAAATATTTTTATACCAGAGACGTGTCTCGATTAAGCTGTCTATTTATTAAATATATTGACAACAATGATTTAGAAAGCTACTTTCAATATATCTTAATATTATTTTTCTACTACCAGAGAAATAAAATATAGACATTCATGTTATACATAACTATATCATTGAGAAAAAAATAATATTACATTACATTACATTTTGTATTTTTAGTTTTTCTTTATTTAATCCTACTTATCCATTTCAGAACACGTGTAAAATCACTTTATAATAAAAAGATTACCAGAATTGGATAATTTTACATAGATGAGTGTTAAGACAATCAGTCTTAACAAATAAGTAATTCTGTATATTTCATACAAAAATTTGGTTTTATTCTACGGAGTTTTGCTGTTCATATAACTAAATTTCAATACATTCTGGAACTGGTTAATTTTTTGGAAACTCGAACTGTATTTACTTATTATGATTCACTCGACTAAATATTTTTGTGGCATTGTAAATTAAGAATTTACTATTAAATTCTAAGTCTTTATTCTATCAATTGAAATATGCTTTTTTATACTAATTCACAGATGAATATTATATGCGGTGTGGATGGATATGTAGTTTGCTGGATGGTGGATATAGTTTTATTAGTAAGTGCTCTAAATGAATAACTCAGTTACAAGGTGAGTTCTTTATAAAATGTTCCATGGTTTACTCTTACCATGCTTATATGAATTTTGTGAATAATAGTTATTAATGTTTAATATAATATATATATATATATATATATATATTATTTAAATTTTGGCAATTGAGTTATTAGAATTTTGACTCTAGAGGAATGCATGGCAATATTACCATAGCCTTGCACATTACACTAATAAAATCGAAGTTAACTATTCAAATGAGAAAAAAATAGTATAATAGAAATTCTTATAAATTTTACTCGCCATTATTTATGAGTGCAACAAAATACAACCAAATGATAGTGATTATTTAATTAGTCTGCTAAATTATCATGTTTTCTTGGAATATAAAAAGTTATTGTGTGTTAAACAAAATTATTGACTTATTAAATTATTACAACGGTTGTAATATAATTAATAATATATATATATATATATATATATATATATATATGGTCCTTAAAATGGTCATTTTCGAATTTCCTTGCTCCCTGTTAATACTGTTTTGATTAAGGATCAAAACAAATAATTTAATTTCAGGTGAATGCGTTATTCCTGATATATATGTTACGGTAAATGTGAATATTTCGGCGAATGTGCACATTCACCGGTGAATGTGCACATTTACCGGCTCATTTGGTGAATGTGAGTTCAACGCGAAATACTAAATCATATATTTATATTCATATTCATATTCATATTCATATTTATATTCATATTTATATTTATATTTATATTTAAATTTATATTTATATTTATATTTATATTTATATTTATATTTATATTTATATTTATATTTATGTTTATGTTTATATTTATATTATTTATTTTAGTCATATGCATATTAATATCCATTATTGATTATTCACTATTAACTATTAACTATTTATCATTAACAATTTATCTATTAATTATTAATAATGAACTATTAACTGTTTAATTGATAGCCATTAACAATTAACTATTACCTATTTAACTATTTTTAATTTACTAATAACTATTCACTATTTACTATTAACTATTCAGTTATCACTATTCACTATTCACTATTTTACAATTCAACTATTTATTATTAACTATTAACTATTCACTATTTAACTATCCAAAATTCAACTATTCACTATTCATTATTTAACTATTCAAAATTCAACTATTCTTAATTCACTATTTACTATTAACTATTCAGTTATCACTATTTACTATTTACTATTAACTGTTCACTATTTACTATTCATCTATTGAACTATCAACAATTAAACTATTTAGTTATCACTATTCACTATTCATTATTTGCTATTTACTATTCACCATTAACTATTTAACTATTGTTACGAATGGGGGTTAGTTAGACCCTTTCGGAATAGCTAATTGGATTTTACTCAATAACTATTCCGAGGATTTGATCTTATTGAATATATCAAGCAAAATATTTGACGTTCTCTACGTGCTCGGCGGTCCAGTCGGATGGCGGCTTCAAGTTCGGATATCTCAGTTCGCTTTAAATTCGGATGCTGAGGAAGAAATGAACTCCAAACACAAATAAGGAACACTTGCACTGATTAAAAAGTATTTATTTTATAAAGTAATAAGTAATGATCAAAATATATCACAAAAACTCATATGGAAAAGTACAAGTAAAACGGTGTACGTGACTAGCCAACGCGCGAGAGCTTGTTCACCCGTCAGATCAGCTATTACATCCCAACCTTTGAGGATTGCCAGAGAAAAAGTGTTGTCTGAATATTAAAAATATTCTCTGGCGACATCTAACAGATTCTGGCGCAAACATATTCCCCAGTCTAAAAGGGATATCTTTTATAACCCTGTATTTCTTGATATCGGTTGATAGTAAAATGATTCACTATTTTGGAAATTGGAATGTCTTATCACAGTTTAGTTATTGAAAAGGTAAAGGACAAAGTTTGACCACCGGTCGCTTAACTAGGGTGTCTCCAATTCTGACTGATGCTACTCTCACTATTCCATCGTCACCTGGAAAAACGTCTTCGATCCTTCCTAATCCCCAATGTAATGGTCGTGTATTTTCTTGTTTAACAATTACCAGATCATCCTTTTTTATAGGATTGGTTACAGTGTTCCATTTTTGACGAACCTGTAACTCAGTAAGGTATTCTCTACTCCATCGCTTCCAGTATGAGGCGACTATTTGGTCTAATAATTGCTTTCTTTTTGACAAATTTAAGTTTTCGTAATCAACCGGCATATCCGACAGTGGTTCTTGCATCAAAAAATGCGCCGGTGTAAGGGGTTGTGGATCCGATGGATCGCTACTCTGCCAACATAACGGTCTTGAGTTTAGTAAAGCCTCGATTTTATTGAGAACGGTAATAAACTCTTCGTAACATAATATTTGTGTTCCCATAACCTTTAACAATGGTTTTTACTCATTTAATATTTGCTTCCCAAATGCCCCCAAAATGTGGAGCATGCGGTGAATTAAATTTCCATTTAATAATATGTGAAATTAAGACTTTAAAGTTTGTTTTATACTCATCGGAATTTAACAGAATATATAAGGAATCAAAATTATTTTTTGCACCTATAAAATTTGTTCCACGCCGAGCTAGAAATTGTTTTAGGCAATCTAGAAACGTATCACTTGTCAAATCTGAAGCTAGCTCGAGGTGTATAGCTTTGGTAGCTAAATAAATAGAAAGGCATATAGTAGTCTTGTATGTTCGAAAGTGAAGCGTTATATGGAGGCATAGAATATCAATTCAATCAAAATTTCATGAGAAAGGACATTTTTAATAATATTGCGTAAAAGTACTTGAAGGTTGAAGTAAATTTGATATCGAACCCATTATTATATAACCCAATCGGGTTTCTAGTGCTATAGGTAATCCTTGACCACTTTTCACCTTATTAGTACCCATGACTTCGCTGAAAACATCACATCCTAATATGCCGTCGACCGTTTGAGGCACATAAAACTTTGGATCCGCTAGTGGGTACTTCAAGAATGATTGGATTGATGATACTGGAATCGTGGTTTGTGGTTGTTTTCTCACAATTTCTTGCACAACGTATGCACATACTGGCAATTGATGTGGATTGATTGTGGATTTTAAAGTGAAGTTAACCAATCCTATTACGTTTTGTGACGAATTTCCTAATCCAATTACTTTGGCTGAAAATGGTTGAACTTTCAAATGGGCCTTTCTACACCAAGCTAATGTAACAAAATTTTTATCACTTGCTGAATCAATTATAGTACGTAGTGGAGTATTTTTCTTTTTGGTAGAAACCTTTGTTACAGCTGTCGGCAATATTGTTGTATTATGCGCGAGTTTGTTGTTACTGGTAGTGCATAAAACTGTATTATTAGATTTAAAATTAGACGGATTACCTTGATTTGTATTCGCAAGATTTTTATCAATATGCAGTAATGTATGATGCGGTTCCTCACATATAAGACAAGTTCTATTCGATCGACACGCAACTGTCGTCTTATGGCTTAAACAATTTACACATAGATGTAATTTCTGAATAATTGCTCGCCGATCAGGAATATTCATTGCAAGAAATTTTGAACATGTAAATGTTCTATGTTTTTCCCGGCAAACAAGACATTTATAATCATATTTCATAAATGATGACAGTCTAGATGTTGTATTTTTATCATTAGGTTTATCATATGTGTAATTGTTAGTCATACTCGTCATACAATATACTTGATTTTTCGCTTGTTGCGACTTATGGAGAAATTTGAGGAGGTCTTGGTATTTAGGAAATTCTCCTTGATAAGAATGTTCAAATTTCTCTTGCAGACCGGGATCGAGTTTTGAGAATGCCATAGACATTATCATAAAATCAAATGCATCTTGAAGGTTTAATTGTGAAAGGGCTTGTACAGCTGTATCGAATTGTTCCAGAAATAGGTCTATTTGTGATGATGTAATAGTTTTGAACGATAAGAGCTGTTTAAAGTAAGTGGTGGCTAAATATCTTTTATTCTGGTATTTTTTTAATAGTGCTTCCCATAAAATCGGATAATTATCTGCAGTTGGTAGTATGGAATTAAAAATTTTTAATACCGAACCTTCTAACGCACCTTTTAAAAAATGAAATTTGGATACGTTATCTAATCTTGTATTTTCATGAATTAATGCTCTAAAGGTTTCATAAAATAAAGGCCATTGTTGTATATTGCCGGAAAATTTTGGAACTTCTATGGATGGTAAATGATGATTTGGAACACTGTCCGGTATTGGCGAATTACTTATATTTTGATTATCCAACATTTTTTCTATATGTTTGATTTTTCCGTACAAAATTTCCAAGGCCCTCATGTCGGCATACTCAGGTACAAAACTCGGATCCTCTAAATATCTTAATTTGTTTATTTCGTCGCTTAATTTTATGCATTGTTCTCGTGCATTTTCAATAAGGTGTAATTTTTCAAGAAATTTTAACTTACTTGCCGTATTGGTGGTAATTTGTAGAGAAATGTCATACGTTTCTTGTATTATTGAAAAATACATTTCGCTCTTCGCTGTCAATCGGTCAATCTCTGCACCCACGTCAAATTTAGGTGCCATCTTGGATTTTATTTTCTCAATATATTCAATAAATCCTAATCAAAATTAGGATCCCGGCGTCGAAGGACCAATGTTACGAATGGGGGTTAGTTAGACCCTTTCGGAATAGCTAATTGGATTTTACTCAATAACTATTCCGAGGATTTGATCTTATTGAATATATCAAGCAAAATATTTGACGTTCTCTACGTGCTCGGCGGTCCAGTCGGATGGCGGCTTCAAGTTCGGATATCTCAGTTCGCTTTAAATTCGGATGCTGAGGAAGAAATGAACTCCAAACACAAATAAGGAACACTTGCACTGATTAAAAAGTATTTATTTTATAAAGTAATAAGTAATGATCAAAATATATCACAAAAACTCATATGGAAAAGTACAAGTAAAACGGTGTACGTGACTAGCCAACGCGCGAGAGCTTGTTCACCCGTCAGATCAGCTATTACATCCCAACCTTTGAGGATTGCCAGAGAAAAAGTGTTGTCTGAATATTAAAAATATTCTCTGGCGACATCTAACAGATTCCGGCGCAAACAACTATTTACTATTTAACTATTTACTTTTTAACTACTAACTATTTACTTATAACTAATTAACTATTAGCTATTCACTATTTAACTATTCACTATTTAACTATTCTAAATTCATTATTTACTAATAGCTATTCACTTATTACTATTCACTATTAACTATTCACTATTCAACTACTAACTATTCAACTATTCAGTTATCACTATTCACAATTTACTATTTAACTAACAATTAACTATTAACTATTTTCTATTTAGTATTATTTATTCACTATACACTATATTACCACTTTACTATTCAACTATTCAACTATTCACTATTAACTATTAACCGAATAACAATTTAGTGCGCATGCGCCAAATGCGCAAGATGTTCATGAGATCGATCCAAGTACGCACGTACACCTTTATTTTAAATTGATTGTTTGAGAACTCCACATTCACCGATCGTTTTGGGGAATGTGCACATTTACCGGTGAATATATTAATATATAACAAATAATAATAATAATAATAATAATAATATATATATATATATATATATATATATGTTTGCGTGTATATAGTATTTTCAATATTCTCTCTACTAGTTAGACTACTTATAGTCATACCAATCATTGAATTTAGAAATTTTAATACTACTAATATTCATTCAAAAAACTCTCCATTGACATTGACAAATTTAATCTATTACAATTTATACTATTTCTGTGCCGAAAATTTTTACCCCCAATTAATACTTTGTAAAACCGTTCCGATTTATCAGGAATAACGCATTCACCTAAAATTAAATTATTTGTTTTGATCCTTAATCAAAACAGTATTTTGCACTATTAATTTTGAATCATTTTAATTAATTTTTTGCACTACTTTATCAATAAGATCGTTTTCAAGTTCTGCAAAATTATCTTTTAATAAACTGCAATATTTTTGGATGTTTTTTTTTCTGTCTTGATATAAACATAATATTTTTTGTTTGAAAATATTTTTGTGTACAGTAGAACTCCAATTATCCGAATTAATGGGGACCGGGACCCATTCGGATAATCAAATATTCGGATAATCGGATTTTTTTTTTAAATCGCCATTGGAGAGAAAAAGATATTGCACTATTTTTTTTATTGAATTAAATGAAAGAAACATGACATTTTCACATGTTTTAAATATAAATAAAATGTACTTATGTACAAGTTTAGAAATAAAAATCATTGTTTTGTAAACATCTCCGTCAAATTAAAACAAACAATGTGCCTACACTGGCTTTGCTGGTGAAAGAATAATAGCGCTCTTAGACTTTTTTTGGACATTTTTTTTTCTGAAAGTGATTCGGATAATCGGCGATTCGGATCGTCGGAGTTCGGATAGTCGGAGTTCTACTGTATTTTCTTTCAAATAATAATTAGTTAGGATAGTAATACCGAATATCTGAAACAACTTAATGATAAAAAACTATTTTTTGCATTTAAAACGATTAATTTTTTAGAACAACTCTTTATTATTCTGTTTGTCCATCTATTCAATGATTTTTTCATAAATTATTTTATCGCATTTTTCTGCTTACAGTTTTTATTGCAAAAAACAAACAAACATTTTTAATTTGTCGACCTGTTTCTAAATCTCCAATAATTGTATCAGGGATATCGCGATAAACGTTAATTTTTTAACTTCCCGTAGGGCAAGTTATAGTAATCGCAAAAAAATCGAAAATGAAAATTTTTGCATTTCTCGACGTTTCAAAGGTTTCTGAATATTTTGGCATACCTTAGAAAAAATGGATGTATGTGTGTGTGTGTGTGTGTGTGTGTGCGTGTGTGTATGTATGTGCGGATACAAATTTTCGTCGACGATTTCGGGAACACCGATCAACCGATTTGAATAATTCAAAAAACATTCGATTCGTATTGATAAGGAAACGTGCTGATTAGTTTTTGGCAAAGTCAGGGCTAGCCGTTCCGAAGATACGGGGCAAAAAGTGCCGAAAACGGTAACTCAGTTTTTAAGAGAACGGAGCGTCCGATTTTAATAATTCAAAAAACATTTGACTTGTATTAACGATTGAAGAAGCAATCAAATTTTCATAAAGGCAGGTCTAGTGGTTTCGGAGATCTAATAAAAAAAGTAAAAAAAAAATGCCATTTGGCGGTCAAAAATGATCATTAGACATATGCACATCAAATTATCAGATATTTTTTAGAGATTTTAACAATAAGTATAAATTTGGTTTATATTCCTATGGGTTCCGTACCAATGTTTACGCGTTAGACGGCGACGCGACGCTTACGCGCTTTGATATTTTGTCTTTATGCAGTTAAAGCAGTACGATTGCTTTGAAAAAAAGTTTAGATCTTTCAAAATATGTCAAAATAAAGAAAACTTTTTTCTTTTCAAAAAAAAGTAATTTTTTGTCAAATTTATAGTTTCTCAAAAATCTAATTTTTTCGAAGTAATTTTTTTTCAAACATGTTATTCGTTTAAAAAAAAAATTTTTGCTACGGGAAGTTCCAGCAATTTGCCTTAAGGCACGATGCCTTAATTGCCTTTCAGACAGAATTTCACTTACAGCTAGTTATCATTTCGTTGACTGTTGAGATTTCCAAATCCTCATGTAGGCAAAAGTTCGAAATATACCAAGGCGTATTAGTTAAGATATGCAGAATTTTGTTCTGGAACCTTTGAATAATGTTTATGCACGATTTACAAGAGCCCACAGTTAGATTCTATAAGTCCAAATGACCACTATTATAGTTTTGTACAGAAAGTACCTTGTTATCGAGAGAGATTTCGGATTTCCTCCCAAAAAGCCAGTCAAAATCTTTTATTTTCAGTTGGATTTGTTTTTTTTTTATTTTCAATGTGCGTTCACCTTGTCCATTTCGAGTCGATGTGCCTAAATATTAAACAGTGTTGTATAGTGGAATTATTGAATTGTTTATACTGATTATAATTATAGGTGGACTGTTGTGGTGTTTTAGTAAAGCAATTATGTGCTAAGACTTTTCTATATATATTTTGATATTCCATTCTAAATACCATTTTTCGAGACTAGATGAATAGCTTTGTAACTGTCAAGTTATTATTGTAATATCAGAATTGCATGAAATTATAGCTATGTCATCGGCGTACGCTTGTAAATATGAGATAAAGTACTGGGCTTTAGCACACTGCCCTGTGGTATCCCGCATTCTATATTTCTAATGATCGAAGAACATCTTTAGTTTGATTCTAAATTTTCTAATAAGTAAAAATGAGTTTAAGAAGAGTATTGAAGTAGTTTGGAAAAGTTGATTCGATTTTATATATGAGTCCTGAATGCCAAACCTTATCAAATGTCTGGCTGACATCTAAGAATACGGCAACGCTGTGTTCCTTTCTATCCATGGCTTCAGGAATACGAGACACTGTTCTGTTGCATTGTTGAATTGTAGAGTTGTCTTTTCTGCAGCAAAACTGGTGGTGTGGAATCCATCTATCATTGGGATGATCTTCTGACAATCTCTGCAATAGAAGTCTTTCTAAGATCTTCGATAATATCGATAAAAGTCTAATAGGACGGTAGTTTGCTTTAGCTATCATAATCAATTCTGCAGTTTTTCAGGCTGTGGGCCATTAATTATATAGAAGGATGGCGTTATAAATCAAAATTATTTGTTATAAATAAAATACCTTTTATATGCAATTGTTTCATCATTTTTGGAGTAATTTTGTCCATACCTCCTAGTGAAGATTTGTTTTTCATCTTTTATATTTCATATAAGACATCATTTGCTGAGAATTGTCCTAACGGTGTTGAATGTATGGGTTGATTTACGAAATTATTAATTAAATTATTCTGAGCAATATTTCGAGCGCTAAAAATGATACTTAGATGATCTACAAATGCCTCCATCTTTTATTCGTTACTTTTTGCCTAAATGGTTTGTAATTTTCAGAGGAGGGTTTTATTGGAGGGGTTTACTTTTGTTATTAATTGGTTTCCATATGGAATTACCGTACCTATTTAGCTGCAGTATACACGACCTGAATGTACAATTTTTCCATTATTTCATCTTTTTTCTCGGTGTGTTATTGAGATGATTAAGGGATGTCTTATCCGTTGTTAGATGAGAATGTTGCCAGGTGCGTCTTGCTTTTCGTTTCTGTGTAGCTTCTTAATCTCTCATTATACAAATTGAGTCTCGGTTACTTGATATTTTTTGATCAATTGAATTTAGAGCAACATCAGAACTTCTTTCCCCGTTTAAACTACTTGATTATTAGAACTTAAAAATGCACGAACAGGTGTGATTATGCTGGTTGAACTTGCAGTTGCATTTACTAAAATAATGTCATCAATATCTATTCGAGTTGTATTGCTGTCATCTATTTTTGATATTTAGCCATTAAAGCTGTTTAACAACTCCTAACATTGTCTTTGATATCTGAATTTTTTTTTTGTTTTTCGCCCTCGAAAATTATTTTATTAACCGTTTTCGC